TTTTAATATATTAATTATTAATTTGATTACATATTAAGTATAATAATTAATTATAATTATAATTATTTAAATTTTTTTATTAATTACTGTTATACTTTTAGAGGTGTCTCCTAAATATGAATTGGAAAATCATATCTTTATTTATTGTTTGCTCATAGTTTTACTCCATAGAAGATAATAATTTCATTATTTTTTTATTCTTCCGGTTCTCATTAATCTGGATCAATTTAGGTCGCACATCTGGTTGTGATGAGTAAATCTCCTAACAAAAATTTTCTGCATACACAAATACTCGTAATTAAGACATACTTAAGTGATATCAAGTTGTTTGCCACTTGAATCAACTCTTATTGTTATAATAGTCTCATTATTGAACTTATGACAAACCTATATAATAATTCGTCAGAGATAGACTTGACAATTATTGTTATTATAAGTCTAATATCAGTCGTTCTACAATTAGAATATTTATACCTGAAAAAATAATGAATAGATAAAAATCTATTTTCTCTAGATATTGAACACATCTTTTGTCTTCTACTCGATGCTTCTTTCTCTTCCATAGAAAATATCGATTAACGATTGTCATTTCATATCGATGGTGATTCTGCATTCCAAATTAAATAAGATAAACCGTCTCAAGGATCGACAAATCTAATTTATTTTCATCCATAATTATATATATAATTACATTTATAATATTAGTAAAAGTTACAAAATAAATAAACAAAGTCAACATCCTTCTAATAGGATCAATACCTAATACACTAGAAAAATAATTATGTTAATAAACATTCAAATTTATGATTTCTCGTTTGTGACACTAACAAGTTCCTTCAATTTTTATTACGAAATTTGTTTAATATATTATCAGTAAGGTTTCGATATAATTTTAAAATGTCAAATATTTTAAAAATATATTATAAATCAATATTGGAAAAGGATTGTTTGATTCCGAGTGTGACAAACTAGAAATATATATAATTATATCTCGCTATTATTTGCTCCACTCAATTAAGACTCTATAATTATCTTATTTTATGAAAAATGAAATAAAAGGAAAATTGACCATTCTTTGAAGCTTTTATGTCGTCTTAATTTGGTCAAAAAATTTGTGTTCATTAATTAATAATTTTATATTGAAAAATTTAACAATGTATTCTTTGCGGATAAAATACACAATTTGTTCACCGACTATAAGATATTATTTTGTTGAATCTCTTAACTATTAAAAGTTATAAAATGATCATCCGACTATAGATAGATACTTTGTTGAGTCTCCGACTATTAAAAGTTACAAAATAGTCACTCGATTATTCATATTTTTCAAACATGTCCTTTTCCATTAAAAATGGATTGTCGTCTAAGTTAGACGTTAACCTGCTGACTTAGATATGATGAAATCTATTCCAGAATCTCAAACGACTATACAATTCAAATGAATTTGAGATTAGATTTATCATATCTCAGTCAACATATTAACGTTCAACTTAGAAGACTGACAATTTTTTAACGAAAAAGGATGAGTTTGGAACTTATAAATAGTCGGGTGACCATTTTGTGACTTTTAATAGTCGAAGAACTTAAGAAACCGACAACCTATTTATGCTTTAAATTTCAATATTACCATATTTTTTTCGAAGTAACATACAAAAATCATTTTATTTTAGAATTAATATGCTTGTTAATCATTATTGAGAACAAATAACAAAAGTTACACATGAAAAAACTGGGAAAAGAAGGCAAAGATATGGTCATTATATTCAAACAGAAGACATGCGGAAAGTGGTTCAACAACCAGACGCTTTGATAAGAAAATGTCAATGGAAAACAAAACAAGTTGAATGAACTATCGTTAGGAATCAAATATTACCTTAGAAGGAATTATCCCAAATTAAAAGTGAATATATGATTCTGAAAAAATAGGGAAAAATATACAAATGATTCCTCGACTATATGATACTATTTTGTTGAGTCCCCCAACTATTAAAGATTACAAAATGATCTCCGATTATAATGAGTTGTTTTGTTGAATCATTTGAATATTAAAAGTTACAAAATGGTAACCTGACTATTCATTATGTTCCAAACTTGTCATTTTCTGTTGAAAAATTAACGGTCGTCTAAGTTGGCCGTTACATATTGACTGAGATATGACTGTCGCTTGAGTTTATGAGATCAGATTTTATCATATCTTACTCGATATGTTCACGTCAACTCAAACGACCGTTAATCTTTTAACAGAAAAAGACGATTTTAGAACATAATGAATAGTAGAGTGACCATTTTTTAACTTTTAATAGTCGAGGGACTCAACAAAACAATATCATATAATCAAATGATCATTTATACACTATACCCAAAAGATTATTACCTATGATTATGATCAGAAAACGCACCCATCTAATTAATAGATTGTAGGAAAAGATAATTGAGAGATGTACTCGAACTTCTAAATTATAGAAAATAGTAATACTTGTTTGGGTATATATATATATATATATATATATATTAAGTAGACTTGTGTATATGTTAGGTCAAGTAATTCAAGATTATTTATTTTCTTTTAAAATTTAAGTCAAAATAAAAGAATAATTTTATATTGATATTTGTATATTTAAATTTGAAGGTAAACTATACTAAAAGTCATTAAACATTTAGGATATCTTCTATTTGATTATCGAAATTTAAAAACTTTATTAGAGTCAAAAGCTTTTATTTCGGTTACTAGACCGTTAAACCATTAATAATAAATGACGTGATATATACACATACCATTTTTCTTAATAAATTAATATACATTTCAAATAAGATGATAATATATATTATCATCTTAGCTATAAAATAAAGGAAACAAGTAAATGGTTTTGAGGTGGATCAAATCTGTAAGATAATTTGGGAGAAAGTAACATACAATCTTTTACCTAAGGAACTTGTTATATTAAATACAATAGGGTAAATCATACTTTTAGTACCTAAATTATTTTTTTGTTATGTTTTGATATTTTTTTTTTAAAAATCATACCTAACATTTAGTTTATATTTCATTTTGGTATCTCACAATTAAAAACTTAACCGTGATATTGATGTGTCACCATAAGGTAATGCCACATTATCATTGATTTTTAAAAAAAATATCATGTCAACAATTTTGTTATTTTTTTAGCGGTGGGGTACAAATTTGAAATCTAAACTAAACTTCAGTATGATTTTGGAAAAAAAAGATTGGGTTCCAAAACATAACAAAAGTAATTGTTTAGGTTTTTTCTCCCTTAGCCAAAGGTGTGTCACACCCCCTCTAATTTTTAAATTTCCTAAGATTTTTTTTATCTTTTATTGATTATCTAATTTTACACCCATTAAAATTTTATAATTTCTAAAAGTTTATATCTTTAATATAAATTTTTGTGTAGACCAAAGGTGCCGGTGATATTAACGCACTCACCTGCATTAATATGAATAGTGTTGTTTCCCTTTTACATTGACAATTTTATTTTTTGTAATTATAATAAAAAGAAACATTTACTAAGATAATTATATATTATTACCCAGCTGGGTTTAACAGCAGAATTTACCGATGAGCCATCCAATCGTATGTGAGCCACATGCTTTGCCTCTGTTGGATACCAATATGCATTTCGGTATTTTAATCTTCATTTTCTGCTACATAAATTTTGCAGCAATGTTTGCCATCATTAAGCAAACAAACAAAACCAATACATCTAAATTTGGGAAATGTATAAAAGAATCTGCAGTGCCATACCAAGCATGTGAGGAATGTATCCAAGGCCTTTTAGCAACCCCTTCATCTTGTTGTTGTTTGATGTCATTTAACTATTTATAATTATTAATCCATTAAATGATATCGGCGGCAAAATAAAATATTATTCTTATTAGAGGATTCAAATTTAAATAACTGCGTTTATAGAATTTGTATAAGTTATCAATAATTAGGAAAGATTATGAACAAGAAAATTTTTGTTAGTCGTAAGAAACCTCAATTTTATATTATTTTGTCTATTATTAGGAAAGTCCGAAGATCATCAAATATTGTTTGTCAAATAAAATAAAGGATTAACCAACAATAACCAAACAAATGACACTAAACTTTCCAAATATTTAAATCAAAATTAATTGGATTATTTTTTTAAAGAAAAGAATTTAAAAATTAACTGTGATGATAAAATAAAGGGTAAACTATACCCATAATTATTCAACTATGGATAGATTTTATTTTAATAATCGATTTTTCAATTTTGTCAATCACACCATTTAACTATTTAAATGATGTAAATCAAGTCACATGTCGTTAATATTTGATAGAATATATAAATATTGAAGATCAAATGTGTTATTATACTAATTTTATTAACAGTCACATCAATATTGCTGTTAAATGTTAACGACAGATGACTTGATTGAAATCATTTAAATAGTTAGATGGTCTTATTGACAAAAATAAAAGGCCGGTGGTCAAAATAAAATCTGCCCATAACAAAGTGATCAGGAGTGTAGTTTACCATAAAATAAAAGTTAAGAGTTAAAATAAAAAATAAAAATGTCAAATCAGGAATTTTATAAAATAATGAGACAAAAAATAAATATTAAACATTTTATAAATATCTTTGAATAAATATATTCGTGGATTAGATCGGATTCTATCATATATATATATATATATATATATATATATATTTTTAAATATTTTGAACCTATTTTTTTTATCAAATTAAAAATGATTATAAAGTAATATCTGTTTTAATTACTATCAACCATTTGAAAATAATTATTGGCCAACTCTGGTAAAAAAGAATTACTACTCAAATTAGATAGATGGACAGCTAGCGGAAATGTAAGAAAGAAAGAAACATTATGCTTCCTTTTAGCATTTATTGATAATTACATTGAAAGCATATTACAGTTTGCTATTCATTCGATAAAAATGGAAGATCAAATGAGTGGTTTTATGTAAAGAATTGAGGTACAAAATGTTCGAAAGAACTCTCTAACACAACCCACTCCTGTTTTGCCTTTAAACATGAGAATCCTTGTCTGAATTCTTCCCTTCTTGCCCTTCTTTCTCTAAACCCATATATGCTGTTCCATCTTGTCTTTCATCTGTACAAACAATTAAAGAAACATTTCAACCCTAATTTTTTTATCATGTTGTTAGCTTCATCGTTAATTTTTTAACGATAGATGATTAAAAATGAATAAAAACATAATTTTAAGTATGATTTTGAAAAAAATAATTACATGACCAAAACGAAACCAAAGTGATAATTAAATAACTAAAATACGTAGTTTATCCGTTTATGTAACATTACCTAGACCCCAATGGATCAGCTTGTTTCTTTTTGCTCTCTTGGGTGCAAAAATAAGAATACAAGCCCATCCCAAAAATGGCAATCAAGATCCCGATGATGTTCCTCTGGGTGAAAGGGTCATGCAACAGCGTATAGCCAAAGCCAAGAACCAAGCAAGTCTTGAGGTGGCCAAGAACTTGATATGTCACCGGCGATGTTTTCCCAATTACCAGAAATGTGCTAAAGTTTACAGATACTGAGATTATGCATGAGAGGATGATAAATGCCTGCAAATATGTTTCAAAACACAATCACTCGTAAAAAATCCACCGTCAAATTATGATTTTGGTCCTTCCAATACATTCAAGTTCAGGGATTAAGTCCCTATAATTTGAGCATAGTAGATGAAATATGGTGTAAAAAGAGAGGTGTGGTTACCGTACCGAGACAATGGGGGAATATTTGAAAGCAAACACATTTTGTTTGGTCAGAAATTGGTCGACCAAAGGACCTGAGACAAAAAGAATGGCCGCCTGAAATGGGGCTGATTGGTACAGCAACTGGGTTGAAGATACATTCAGCCTCTTCTGTATGGTGTTTGTCAGCTATGTTCTTCAAGTTAAGGTTATAAAAAGGTCAAATTGCTATTTTAGTCCACTATTATCAGAATTTGAGGACAGTAGAGGGACTAAAAACATAATTAGACCACTGTAAAAAGAAAGGAATGGAAGTACATGTAAAAGGATACAATTTGGCTAACACATGTGGTGACAATGGCAAGAAGAGAGAGGATTGTGCCAACAAAGTTGAGTTGGAGATCAGTGATGGAGGCAATGCCAACTCCAACAAGTAAAAGGAAGAGTGACAGCTTTATCTTTTGGCTGCACAAAGTAGAACACATCATTTGTGGTTAAGCTTTGAATCTTAAAAGTGCTCAAATATCATAACCAAATGAAAAAAGAAGAAAGAACCTGAATTGCTTCTTTAGGAAGATGGTTTCCAATAGTACAGTGAATGGGATGATTGCAAGCTTGGTCATCTGCAAAAAGAGGTACCGAAACGAATGAGGACTCGAATTTATGGGGTAAGAAGGTAATAAATGTGAAGATCAAGTCCCACCTGGTAGAAGCCAATGGAGTTGAATCCAAGGCTCAAGTTGAGAAGTCCAATGGAAACGCCATTGAGGATGCCAAAGAGCATCACGGTCTTGATGTCAATTGGTTTATTCTCGAACAGGTTGAAGCGTTGCGCCGCATGGAGGGTGCAAAATGTTACCATTAGATGCCAGCTTGTTAGTGTTGTGGCTGCATATATTTTTTAACACAATCAACTTCATCCCGATTCGAGTGAATTCAGATACGGATATATCTAAAAAAACATTTACTAAAAGAAGAAGATTTTGATGTATGAAATTACCAAAAGGGAAGCCAAGATTGCTCATCAAAGCTTTGTTGCATATGACAATGGAGACAGATGATGCAACTGACAGAAACAGGGCACCGATAACTCCCAATTGGAAGCTTGAAATCCCTCCCATCTTTTCCGAAACAAAGTAAATATTAACACAAATCACTTGATTTCAACACTAGTTTGTTCTGGGTAAAACTTAACCCTGTTCCTATCAAGAAGTTTACACATTTGAATAAATCTTCATACGCAGCAAAAAAAGAAAAAAAATGGAATCATGCATAAACAGATGTTACCTTGTGAAACAGGTAGATATAACCTGGAGTTCTAGGAAGCCCTGACAAAAGATTCGAAGAAGCAAAAACTAAATAAATTTAGATTCATGAATGAAAGAAAAAGAAGAGAATTGTTGAGACGAAATAAGAATAGGGGCTCCTACAACTCCAAAAGCAACCGGGAAACTGGGGTGTTGAGAGATCTTTTGTTGAGCTGAAGAAACTTGGAGAAGACGAAGAGAGAGATGGTTATGGGGTTTTGTTATAAAGGTTAGATTGCTGCCTGGGGAGAGGGTTGGTGCCTAACGCTGGTTGAATTTCCAGAAGGAAGATGACGATGAATTTAAGCAAGGAAGAAACCGTCACATTTTTTAAATTGCTGTTGATGTAACCACATCCCCTTATCTCTTTACCTCCCCCGGATTTAGTTTGTTCATATATCTTCGTCCCCAAAATAAAACTGCTCAAGTCTCCCTTCAATATATTAAATCCGAACCTATTGGTAGATCCCAATAATAAAAAAGAAGTATTGTTCTTTTTAAATGTTCTTATTTCGAGCGGTTATATTTTTATGATATATTCATTGTCAATTAATAAAAAATTCTGATGAGATGTTATTTTATAATTACAATATATTAATTATATATATATATTTAATCCAATCGTTTTTAACAAACAACTAATAACAATTTATAAAAAAAGTATAAAAAAAAACCATATTTACAAAATTAGCACGTTTTAACTTTGTTTTTCTCCCTAGCTGTTATTGGTCCTCTATTTTTTTTTGGATTTTTTTTCTATTCAATTTATATGATTGAATAGTTAGAACAACTTATTAAATCCAATTCGATATTTACCATTTTGATTCATACAATCAAACACGTAAAATTATTTTAAAACATCCAATAAATTTATATTCGAATCTTAAAATCTATGATTTTTTTAAATCTCCAACGTAAAAAATTGGCAGATGAGGATATAGATTGACTGAGAGGGGATAAATAATAATAATAATATCTTAAAAATTTTAAATTTTATATATTTTAGATATTTTTTATTGATGATATATTTGCGTCCTTAACATTTTATAGATCCGATCCTTAATATAAAACCTTACATCTCTTTATATAGGAAGGTGATGATGCATTTTGGTGGTCAAATGAATGAATTACTTGAAGGTTTGAAAAGCCAGTGATAAGAAACAAAAGGAAGGAAGGTCAAATGGAAAAGAGGGTAGCTCCCAGTTCAAGCAAAAGGACTTTGCATACTCAATACTCATTATCGGATTTTGGTGACAATATTTTTTTTTTAAAAATAAAATAAAAACCCTTCATTTTCACTCATGAAAGATATGCGTTTTCACCAACCACGCAAATTATAAATAAATGAATATACATATATACATATATACATATATACATATATACATATATATATATATATATATATATATATATATATATATATATATATGTATTTCAGGATTAACCCCCCATTGGTTTAATGTCTATGGGCACTGGGTTTTGACCAAAATAATCAACAATGGAAAAAAATCATCCCTTCTATTACAAAAAAGACAAACAATTAGATGGTCACTTTAATTTTATTATTTTCGTTTTTGGTCATTAATGTTAAAAAGGTAACATTTTGATCACTTACATTATCAATATATTACATATTGATCACTAATACGTCAAATGGAGTTAATTTGATGGTATCACATGCTAATAAAATGTGTTAATTTTTAATTTGAACCTCATACTTTATATAAAATACTAATTTATATCTTAAACTTTAGATAAAAAATTTCAATTTGACCCTTGAATTTTATATAAAATATTAATTTAACCATTGAATTCAACTAAAGTATCTCACCACCCGCCAGTTGCTCATCGTCAGTTGCCATCGATTGTCGTCACCAATGTTAGACCTCAATTTTTTTAGTTCACTTCTTTTTAACCTCCTAAGCGCAAATCTAATGGTCGTTTCACTAAAAAATGATTTGAACTCTATAAATTTAACCTAAAAACCTAAAAAAATTAAAATTAAATCATAATAATAAATTTATCATTAATATGCATTTATCTTATATAAATGAGATAATATGTACTTTTCTTATATAGAAAATTTTAAAGATATACGGGGAACTGTATAAATTCAACCTTAATTTAATGATACGTGTCTTCTGTTTTTGCTGAATGTGTCCGATGAGTGAAAGAAGGAGAGAAAAGTGAAGCAAAGAAATATTTAGAGGGAAGAAAGAGAGCTAGCTTTATTTTTTATTATAGATTTATGATATAGATTTAATTTATAGTATCATTATTTTAAAAGAATATTAATTAATGATAAAATTATTATTATGGTTTAATTTTTTTAAAGGAATTTACAGAATTTTAGATTAAATTTGTAAAGTCTAACACATTTTCTAGTGAAATAAACATATATTTGCATTTAAGAAGGTAAAAAGGAACGAAATGAAAATTTTGGGGGTTTAACGATCATCGATGTTGGCGGACGATGGTGATTTACGTTCAGAGATGACCGACAACTAATAACGGGAGACTTTGGTCAAATTTAAGAGTTAAATTAATATCTTATTTAAAATTTAAAGAAGAAATTAATATTTTATCTAAAGTTTAGTAGTCGTATTAGTATTTTAATTAAAGTTTAAAGGTAAATAAAATAATCTCTTGTATAGTTGTAATAATGTCCCACTTCTTCAAACTAACCACATTTAACATCTCAGGACCAAAACATTATAAATAGAAAACATAAATGATCAAAACATTACTTTTTGAAATTAGAAACTAAAAGTGAACAACATGAATCATGCAATGCAATTTTAGTAGTATGCGGATGATTGTTATCCCTAGAGGTTTCGGATTAGAGTATGTCATCTATAGAGGTATTTGAGCATTTATTATCAGACAATTGAGAGTCTTTCATACATATGCTATAGTGTAATCACCATAGATTAACCAAGAAAATTAAAATAAATAAAAATAATCATTTTAATAATTTACCCTAGAAAAACGATGAAATCAAGATTCATAACATTATATAATATATAGGCAATATAGGGTTTGTTCTGCATATTTGTCTTTTGGTGTTGGCTATTAAGATATAATGGCTCAACAACTCCCTTCTAAAAGATGCTTTCGCAGTTGGTAGGCTGTATAATTCCCATTCTTTCTTAGAATTATTATATGCTTTGATAATTCGTCCAATTCAAACTTTAGTCCTTTTATTATGCTCAACTTCGAAATTAATTTAATATACTTAAGTTAGATAAATATTATAGTTTAAGTACCTGACGTAATTTTTCTCTTAAGAACACTTGTCGAGTTCACCATGCTTACATAACAGATGACATTGTCATTATAACTTCAAAATTTAAAGTATTGATGCAGTTGACATATCGATGTCTCAATACAAGACAAACCCTGTGTTGTTTTCTTTTCCATTTTTCGGTTGTCCTTTTTGGACTAACGATGATATTAAATTAAGGGTAAATTACATATTTAGTCATCAACTTATTCTCACATTTACGTTTTGATCATTTAATTATTTTTTCAAAATCATACTTAATGTTTTGATTCCGTTTTGATCATCCACCGTTAACAAATTAATGGTGATACTGACGTGTCATAATAAAATAATGCTATATCATCATTAAAAAATAAAAAATATCACATCAGTAGTTCTGTTTATTTTTTAATGACATGTGATTAAAATGAAACCAAAACATAATATTATATATGATTTTGAAAAACAAATTATTAGGTGACCAAAACATAACCACAAAAATAAGTGAGTGACTAAATATATAGTTTACCTTTAAATTAATCAAAAGAAGATTTAAGAGGTTGTTTGTTTACTTCAGAATGATTAAGCGTTGAATGATTCAAATACTGAATGATTCAGAGGCTCTGTATGAATTAGCTCTGAATATGACATGTTGTTTGATAATGACTCTGAATCATTCAGAATGTACTTCTGTGCTGAATCATCCGACACTGTTTTGCTGAATCAGTCGACACTGAATCATTCAGAGGTACGAAACAAACGCGCTGAAAGTTGAACGATTTAACATGCAGCGTTGAATGATTCCATTAAAAGGCAAACAAACAACCCCAAGTATTTGATGAAATCAGCCGAAAGCTCCTCCCTGCCTTGCCAACAAATAATTCTGCACTTTGGCTTTTACAATTATTTGCTGGTTCACAAACCACCACAACTGATCACTTTCTTTATGGAAATGTTACAATCATCATAGTTTTTTTTTTTCAAGGAAATACACCCACCATTGTTCTTCACGAGGAAGAACTGCTAAAAAAATTCACCCCTTTTTTTATAGCTGTAAAAATCTTAAGATACAAGAAAATATGGGTGACAATGAGGGTGGGTTGGGGTAAAAGATGGTAAAAGCAAGTTTATCCCTTTGCATTTGCAAGCTGAGCTACGTATGCCAAGTCTGCATCCGAGATTCGTTTCTGAAACATTGCCCACTCGATTTTGGACCTTATTCTAACCTGTGAATGAAGAAGTATATGAATCTGGTTTAGAGACTTAATCTTATGAAGGTACATAAAATGATGTCAAAATTCGTAAATATGCACACGGCGTCTCGCGGAGATATTCATGCATGAGGCTCGCCCTGAAATTTTTACAGAACTTGTATCAGGAGGGACATGATAAACATGTTCTGGTGAAACTAGTGCTAACAAGCAACCGGATATAGATAGGACCATACAATCGATAATTCGAATAAAACATAGAAGGAAAATCTTATGGGAATAAGCCATGATTCATCGTATGTAACTGCTGAAATATCTGCCAAGTTGACGAAGACTCACCTGGTTCCCGAGAGTAGAAATCACTTGATGAACTATCCACTCTGAATCTAAAACGTCGATTTTCTCGTGTGCAGGCTACGGAGAAGAGAATGTCAATAATTGCTCGTATTGTGCAGCTAGCAACGACTTTCGGATGTTCTTATTGACATTGTGTATACTGCAGAGCCATGTTACTTGGACTCATAATCTCAGATAAGAGCAAGTGTTTGAACACGGGTCTGTTCAAGTTCTTTTTTTCTCCCGAAGTGTTAGAACACAGGTCCGTGTTGCTTTGTAGCAAACACAGGTCCGTGTTGCTTTGTAGCAAACACAGGTCAGTGTTGCTTTGTAGCAAACACAGGGGTCGGATACGAGTACTTCAAGAAAATTCTTGAAGAATCGGAGTAACATAATCGGAGACCAGTCGATAACGAAAAGAAAATGACAAAAATAGGCAGAAACCACTTACTGTAACACAACTTCTGAGAGCAAAATCCAATCCCCATCCATGCACCAAATCATTCTACAAGAAAATGATTTGTTAAGCATTTGGAATATCAAGAAATTTGCACAAAAATTAACAGGTATTTATTTTGAGAGGAAAGGATGCAGATAGCAAGTGCAATGTATGTAGTTGGTTGATATGCTAGCATGTACATGTTCTAAACAATGTGGCCTAAGTCTACAAAATCCTTAAGCATGCTTTGCCTGAATCAAATACCATACACATCGCCAAGCTTCTCGAGCAAATACAGGCGCCATGATTTCCACAAAACTGAAAGAAAGTAAACGGTAGTAAATGCACCGAGAGAAACGAAAAAATCCGGTTTTAGTTAGTTAACAGTGAATTGCACTATACATTCATAAATCAAGAGCGAGAGAGTGTACGCGGCACATGGTGGAAAACGTGGATCACTACACCAGCCAGGTTTCTCTTTGGTGAACCTGTGAACCAAGTCGAATCTCAGAACCTTAAAAAAACAAGTAAAGAAGCGTGGTTGCTGCTTCATATGGTGTGCATACAAGACATAAAACCTATTTGTGAACTTCTCGGTCAACTCTCCGTTTTGTCATCTGCCATGTCAGTGCATAATTGGGCTCCAAACCTGGTTGTGATATCTCCAGGTCATGTTTCTTCACCGGTTTGATATATCTGGTAACAAGTGCAGAGAAAATTAGAAAGAAAATGTCGAAATTAAGTTTAAAACATAACTGGAAAGATGAACCTATCGGCATTGAAGTGTTCCACTCCCAGATCTTCATCCCAGATAAATATATAATCATAAGCCGAAAAAATGTCAGGATGCAAAAACCTTTTTGCATACCACCTAGTATGTGTGCAAGAGCAGGAAATGTGAACAAGTGTTAAGCTAATCTAACAATGGAGGACTAAAACTTACCATTTAGTTTGTTTCCTTCCACTAACATGGATTGCATTCTTCGACCACTCCAATCTGTCCCATTCAGTGGTCCCCGGCCATCGTAATGAAAAAGTGAAGTCTGAAAATCCTCAGAAAACTACCTCAACATGTAAGAATACAACATGTCAGAAACCCGGTAAATCGAAATTGGAAAAAGAAACGATGGATCGGTTCCACTGTCACTAACCTTTTTAACACATTTATAAATATTATTCATCTGATCAATACCAACTGTAAATGTTACTAAATACTTTGGTTTCTTCTGCAGATCCTGTGGATTCAAGGAAAAATCATGATAAGAACTTTAGAACACCGTAACGCATACGTTTCCAAGCACTATAAGATGCATGTAACACTCCAAGTCGACAAAGATGTTTTACGATATATTGTACCTCACTAGGATCACCCGATAATCTGCGTGGGTAAAGGTCGGTCTAGGGAACAACAATACCCGGAGGTAATGATTCTGCACCACGAGGATTTGTCGGAACGTAAATCTGCAAAAACATTGAAGCAGAAAGCAATTTTGAAAAAGGATCAAAACCGAACACCATGCTGTAATTCTAAACAAAGAGTGCTGTTCGACACAAGAAGGCGGAAAACAGAATATAATGATTCAAGAACATAGGGGCAAACGAGACACACTCCCCGCTAATTTGATGATATATGATCCGAGAGCCTCGATAAATCTTCCCAATATGATTAACAAAAGATTGCAAGAAATAGGGACAGAGAGTAAGCAACAAACACCGTGCAAATGTTTCTTCAAGTTGTTTCAGAAGATTGGACCATGTAGAACTCGTTACTATTGGATGCAGCTATATCAACAGACTGTCCAAGGCTCGAAGGTATGTTTTGAATCTGAAGGGATTAGAAACAAATCATATGGATGATAGAGCGGCATAGCGAGATAGAAATGAAAGCAAACGTACCCTGTAAAGGGAAACCTATGGAAACGAAACACCGAAAATAATCCGAAAACAGCTCCAATAGTTGTCGTGATAACGAACCTGGCACTGCAATTTTTCCTACAAAATCCACTGCAAAAAATCCAAATAATTTAACAAAGGGGGCCATTAATGCTGCAAGGCTCAAAACAACTTGTTACACAAACACTTTCTAATATCGAAAATCGACATACCGTGACCTGCGGTTCATGCTGCCCATATCAGTATGCTCTCCTGCACTCGATTTAAAAGGTTAGATGCCCACAAGAACTGTGACCTCCCATAAGCACCTTACGAGCATTCCTTGAGAAACCAAAGCAATGCGACTTTTCTTCGACCGGGCTCAACCTCGGATTAGAACAAGCCTTTGAGCTTCAATATGAATCACAAGAAGTTAGAATGTTCCGACCATTGTTGACTCTTAAGTTAGAATGCAATTTATGTCAAAACTATTTAATTCAAATATTAGAAAAAACTGCTACTAATTCTGATTCATTGTAACTTTTCCAAAAAAATAAAATAAAATCCATCAGGTTTAAAATAATAATAAATAAATAAAAACCCGCCAATTTCACAGTGAAAGAGAGAGGCAACTATCTAAAACATACAATTTGCTTAAGAAATAGCAATGCCATTTAATTTCTTCATCTGCATATTAATAAATATATATGCTTTTCCTGATCACATTGAGAATTTTTTTTTAAAAAAATAACAAAAGAAACAAACAAAACATTATGAATTTAAGGCTCACATACCTTAATTCTGGAGAATTTCAAATTCCATGATCAAAGCCCCGAAGAAGAAAATATCTAAACAAAAGAAGAAGAAAAAAACAATTTATGAAAAAAAATTCATGTAGTAAATTATTTTTATTAAAAATAAAAATCAATCAACCAAAAAAATGCTAGGGTTAGAAAATTACCTGCCTTTTTTGGTGATGATATATTGATCAAATAACAGAGAAAACAGAGAAAATGAGAGTTTTCTTTTCATATAAAATTTTATAAACATAAAGAGAGAATTTAGAGAAAGTTACACTTGCTTTTAGTTGCTTGAGGGGATTAAGAATCAAATTAATTAATTATACTTTAAATTGAACTAAACATAGGCATTAAATATTTTTTTTATTAAATCAAGGAGAATGGAGAGGCGTGATCGAGGTCTGAAATGGTATACTGTGTTTGTAAACAATGTGAGCAAAAGGATTCATCCTAAAATCCTTAAGGAGGTGTTTCAATCTTATGGAGTTGTGATTGACGTGTTTATAGCGTTTTGAAGCAGAAAAAGATTAGCAGCCAGTTCAACTTTTGCTTTTGTTAGGTTCAGAAGACAATCAGAAGCAGACTTAACGGTCCATAGAGCCGATGGGAGGATTATCGATGGCTTCAAGATCAGAGTTCTTCACGACAACAAGGGAGATCAAAAGTTTCAGAGGTCCGTCGATGATAGAAATTTCAACAAAGTTTGGAAGCCTTCGTTTAGGGATTCAAGGTCTTTTAAGGAAGTAGTCGGAGGGGGTCAATCTGTTGAAGGAAGAGCTAAGGATCATGTCGATTTTACTCAGTGTACTATATTATCAGGTCTGGATAATATGGTTCATGTTATGATTGATGATGATCAAGCTTCGAGGAAAGCTACAAAAAACGGTGAGGATAATAAGATTATTCGTATTGCGGAGAATGAGGTCTAGTGGAGACATTTTTGTTTGGTGGGAAAAATAAAAAATATGTATAATGAAGATATTGTTCAGACTGCTTTCAGTGCAAAATGGTTTGACATGAAGGTAAGTATCTGTCATGAATTACTGGTGGTCATCCAATTCAAATATGAATCTGCTTGACATGTGTGTTGGTTAAATAGAGAGGATTGAGTTTCTCGCTGGAATTGTTGGAGGGTTATGAGAACAAACTTAGAGTTAATTGTCGGATGTTCCATTATTAGTGTGGAGCGAAAAATTCTTCATGGAGCTGGGAAGTTTGTGGGGTAAAGTGTTGTTGGTAGAAGAAGATACCTATAATCGGTCAAGGTTTGATGTAGCTAGGATTTTATTGTAAGTTCATTACTCTTCGGATATCCCAGAAAAGTTTCCATTGTCTGTAATAGAAGACTATATTCCATTAAAATTACAACAGAAGCTTAGGAAGAGAGTCGAATGTTCATAGATGGTGTGATGCCTGGTGGTGGTGCGTGGTTCCCAGACGATGTGGTAGCGAGTAAGGATCAATGGATAGAAGAAGACTATGCTGCTGGTATTGGTCCCGAAGACGCATTTAATGTGGCTGCTTTGCATGCTTCGCTCTTCCAGAGGCGTGATAATGTCAACGGACTGATGGAAGTCAGTAGGGAGCTCGTGGATGTTGAGGTGGAGAAGAGGGTTGCTGTTGATAAGGCCTTACATGATGTCCCGATTTTTGCTAATGATGGCCCTAAGGTTCTGTTCGCAGATGATAGTGTCGGGCTTATGGAACTAAATAGAGATGTTGGGCAAGTTTGGGAGACCCAGTCTGTTTCCAACAGCTCTAGGCTCTTGGATATCCCCATTGATGAGGTGTATTCAATAAGGATAGAGGGCCAGGGCCCTATATCATATTCTCGTGGGGTGAAAATGGCTCCATCATTCTCGAAGCATATCCAGGATTGTCCTAAATCTCAAGAAAATATTTCTTCTAGTGCTGGAAAAGGAACGAATGGGGTTAAAATTAAAACTCATTCTAAAAGCACCGTTCCAAGAAGAAAGAAGAAGAGTTCTAGAAGGCGACAATTGATACAAGTTGCAAGAAGAAGTATAGTGGATCAAGGTAATTCTGCAAGGGAGATCATTGCTGGTTCGGAGGGTTTACAAAATGAAGTGGAGGCTACTTTTAGTGTTGGAGAGGCTCTGGGTGTTGTATTCTCAGCCATCGAAAGAGGCGGTGATCCACAGATTGAAGCAGAACGAGCTCTCGGGTAAACTTTGATCTGGGTTTGAGTATTGTTTTGACATGTTATTTTCTGTGTGCTCGGATATAATGGATTCGGGTTTCTCAGTTTTAAGTTGGAATATTATAGGGTTGGAGAAAATATTAAATTAAGAGTAATTAGTCAGGTTTTAGAGTCTAATAAGCTTAGTATAATGTTCTTTTAGGAATCAAAAGTGGGTGAGATTTATGTGTTTGTAGAACGAGTTTTACAGGGCTGTTTTGGTAGGGGTTTGATTTTTGCTCCTGCGGAAGGAGCTTCGGGAGGTCTCATTACTTTATGGGATCGTAATGTTTTTGTGATGAACAGTAAGGTCATTCATAGGCGAATAGTTGCTCTTAAAGGCAGACTGATCTTGAATAATTTAGAGATTGGTATTATTAACGTTTATGGGCCAAATTATCAAAGCGAAATAAATGATTTTTTCGAGCAACTTAGTACTGTAATTTCAAGTCTCAATTGCCCAGTTGTTGTGGGGGGGATTTTAACGTAGTAAGGTATGTCTCCAAAAGAATGGGGGTCTCCGATCTACCTGCTGCGAGGAGAATGTTTGAAGATTTCATTTCTAGGTGGGAGTTGTTTAAAGTCCCAATTTTGGGCAGTTTATTCACTTGGTTTAGGGGTGGGTCATCTTTGGTTGCTAGTAGACTGGATATGATACTGATTTCTCCTGAAATTGCCTGTTTGTATCTAGATCTGGTGCAGTTATCTCTTCCAAGAAGTGTATCGGATCATAATCCGGTAGTATTAAAAGAAAGAAAACATAGAAAACTTGTTAGACCCTTCAAATGGTTTAATCATTGGGATAAAGATTCAATTCTTGTGGACAAAATTAAGGATGTGTGTGAGTCGAATAAAGGCAAAAGCATTTCACAGTTATTCTTGCTTACAAAGGTTGTCACTAAAGAAAGAGCATGATCTTTGAGTGAGAATAATATAGATTCTGTGGATAATATTGGGATTTTAATAGAAGAGTTAGAAAAAAGGTGTATTTCGAATCCTAATTCTAATTTTGCCCAGTTCGATCTTATTGCGATAAAGGCTCGGTTGTGGTCACTTTTGCGGAAAGAAGAACGTGAGTGGCTTCAAAAATCTAGACTTAGGTGGTTTAAAGAAGGGGATAGGAATACAAAGTTTTTTCATCTAACTGCTTCATCAAGAACTAGAAGAAACCAGATTTCAAAATTGAAGGTTCAGAATTTGGTTTTAAAACAACAAGCTAGGATTCAGCAAGCCTTTGTTTCTTATTTTTAGGGTTCTTTCAACGAAGTAAAGATTATTCTAGTAAAGAAATAGGACATTCCAGTTAATAGATTGTGTGCTGGCTCGAGAAGGTTGATTGAAAGTATGTTTTCAAAAGAAGAGGTATGGTCTGTTATTAATTCGTCTGATAGGTCGAGAGCGCCGGGCCTGGATGGCTTTAACTTGGATTTTTTTTTAAAAATTCTGGAAGGTTATCAAAGAAAATGTATTGTTGTTCATGCCTAATTTTTATTAGGGTAGAGTTGAGGACCATTCTTTTAATAAGTCATATATCACTCTAATCCCGAAGGTTAATGAGGCGGTTCATCTAGAGGATTTCAGACCGATTTCTCTGGTGGGGAGTTTGTATAAAATAGTGTCTCGGGTTTTGGCAAAGAGAATGGCTAGTTTTCTTAATGAAGTTATAGGGGAATATCAGTTTGCCTTTATTTCGGGTAAGCAGATCGCGGACTGTATCCTGATTGCCAACGAAGTTATTGATGACATTTCCAAGAGAAAGAAAGAAGTTGTGATTTTTAAGGCTGATTTTAGTAAAGCCTATGACACTGTTGACTGGCATTTTTTGAATCTTATTCTTAAGACGATGGGATTCGGAAAAAGATAATAAGATGGAGAAAGTGGGTATATTTCGGCATTTCAACTCCATCCATTGTTGTTCTTGTTAATGGTTGTCCGTCTGACAGTTTTTCAATAAAGAGAGGCCTAAGACAGGGCTACCCCTTATCGCCAATGCTCTTTAATGTTGTTGGGGAGGCTCTTAGTGGCATGTTATTGAAAGCGTCTATAAATGGGTTGTGTGATAGTGTCAGAGTTGGGTTCGGAAACAGAGATATATCTCATATTCAATTTACTGATGACCTATTAATCTTTTCGGCATCAAATGTTATGAGCTTAATGAACTTCAATCGTGTTTTAAAAATTTTTGAGTTGGCCGCGGGACTGAAATTAAATATGAAGAAATCAAAGATATTTGGTATCAATGTTAACGAAAGCAGGATT